CAAAACAATCACAAACCAAGCCTTTTATCCACCTTAAAAAAAAAAAAAAAAGAACAAATTTTAAGAAAAAAAACAATTATTTTCTTTTATGACTTTTTTTTGGTATTAATAATTCAAAGATAATTTATATATTTACTTATATTATTTTTAAGTAAAAAGATAGTGTTCAGTGAGAAAAACTCAAGGCTTCATTTATGGAAAACTTGTCATTGATCTAAGAATTTTTCATAACCAGAATCCACCTTAAGTGGGCCCAAAAATATATTATAAAATTATTAAAATTTTTAATAAATTTTAAATAAATATACAATGAATCTTTTAAAATCCCTCCAAAATATCAAATAAATACCCAGTTGACCTTTAAAAATCTTCAATAAGTAATTATAAATGTAATTATAATTTTAATTATTAAGATTTCAATTTGATTTCACAAATCAATTTAGCAAAAAAAAAAAATTAATGAACTCAACAACTTCTCTATTAATTGTTCTCAATTATATTTCAAACAAATTATATTATATTTAAAATAGCACTTCACAAATTAATTCTTATTTATTCAATTATTTTGAGAGTAAAAAAATAATGATTAAGTTATAAATAATTTTGGATAAACATATGAATTATTAAAGATTATTAAAATATTAAGAATTATGAATAATTATAACTTATAATACGTAAAACTAATGTGTATTAACTTGATAATGACTATATCAACTTTTAAGGGGAAAAAGAATAAAAATTTTTCTAATATATATTTTTAGAACACACATTTAAAAGTGTAATTATTGCATCTTTTAGTTATTAAATCTTATAGAATTTTTTAAAAAAAAAATTGATGTTAATGTTAGCACTAATAACACGTGTATTATTTTAATTGGTTAGCTTGTAAAATTAAAATCAATCTTTATTTTTTCTATGTAATTTAATGACTAAAAAATATAATAATTACACCATTTAGATACAAATCTTTTAAAAAAAAAATTAAAGAATAATAACAAAAAAATTATTAATATAGAAGAAAAAATGAGGACAAATATAAGTAAATAAATAAATATGTTGATAACATATGTAAGATTAAGTTAAAAAATAGAGTCATAAGAAAAGTTAGTGAAATATAGAGCATATAGGTAAATGGAAAGATACCAAAAAAATATGTAGACGTATTATATTTTTTATAACGAATCACTTGTTGATCTGAGTAGAAGAAGTTTGATTTTCCTTAAACAAGATATCGAGTTCGAATTTTATGAATTACGGGGAAAGATTCACCCATTATGGAATCTAATGCGATTCAATTCTGAATTAATTGAACTCCAATGTAACTTTCAAATACGAAAGGTTAGTAAAAAAATAAAAAAAATAATTATAGATGTTGAGATAAAAAAAATTAATAAAGATTTGATGAATTATTCTATCATGTTTATTAGATTGAAAATTTTTAATTGATATGAAAGTTGGATATATGTTTATAATAAATTAATAGGTGTTTGAAATAATTTTTATATTAATTACTTGAAAATTAGTTTTAATTATAAATAAATTTTGTTATATTTAATAATTATTTATTAGAGACTAGTATTATGGTTAAAGTAAAAATTAATTAAAATTAATAAATACTCAATAACAATAACATTAAAATATAAAAAATATTTATCTCCTTTAAAAAATTAATTGATATAAATTTTAAGTTATAGTTATTTTCTTATGAAGTAAGAGTTTTAATAGGGCTTTGCACTTTGTTTAAAGGGTTTGTTTGACTTGTACTCTAAGGATATAGATTAAAAATATATTAAATATATTTTTTTATTATAAATTTATATTAAAGAATAAAAATTAATTTTTAATTTATTAACTATCTAATTAAATTCACTTGATATTAAAATTAATATAAACTTTTACATTTTTGATAAACATTTATGATGAAAATACATATTTAAAACACTTTTAACCTATGTCATGCACTTAACGCACAAGTTAAAAAAAATCCTTCTTTTAATGTGTAAAAAAACCCTTATAAACTTCTTGTGAATTTATTGTTAGTATTATTTTTAAAAAAGAAAACCAGTCACAACACTAGATAATTTAACATTGTAAAATTTTAGAGAATAAAATAAAAAAGTATACTTATTTATTTTTTTTCTTTATTTTTTCCAAATCTCTTATTTATACTTTGTACGTTATTTTTTTTATGATTAACACCACCTTTCAGTCAATACATTATATAATTTAAAACCTAAAAAAAAAAAAATTAAATTATCAATAAAATCAAGGCGTAAGTATGAGATTTTATTGTTAATTTTTAGATTTTTTATGCATTTTAAATTATAAAAAATGTTGAAAGTAAAAATTTTTGAAGATATTAATTATAAAAAATCAATATACAAAATATAAATAGAGCGTTTGTCTCTTCTTCTCCTTCTTTTTTTTTTTTTTCCTTGCTTGTAAGAATACGCTACCTTTTCTTTGGTCATCGTAAGTATACACTACCAAACGAACATTTTAATGATACGCTTTTATTTTTTATTTTTTTTTCATTTTAGAAATTTCATTCATGGAGTCCATTATGGGGCCAGTTCTTGGAAGTGTAGTAGGCGAACATGTAGATTGCCACAGAAACTTCCAAAATGATGTGGATGATCTCAGAAAAAGAGTGGCAGTTCTAAAACGCAGAAGAAATGATAGAGTAGCAGAACTACTAACAGTGGATGACTTGGACAAACAAGTTAAAGAAGAAGTGCAGGGATGGCTTGAAGATGCAAGGAAGATCATTGAAATTGAAATGCCAGATATTGAAGAACAGGTGCAGAATGTTTCATACTTGTCACGTGGTAACCTTGGAAGACGTGTTCGTCAAAAGATTCAAGAAGTGAGGGAAATTTACGATCGAGGTAGTTTCCCTGAAGGTCTTGTAATTGAAAGGTCTCCAACTATTGGAATCACTTTGCCAACAGAGAATATGGTGGGCGAGGTTAATGTGAGGGAAAAAATTTGGGAATACTTAATGGGTCACGAGGTTGGAATTATTGGAGTTTGTGGAATTGGTGGAGTTGGCAAAACCACTGTTATGAAACACATCCATAATGAATTACTGAAAAAGCCTAGCAGGTTTGAGAAGGTCGTCTGGGTTACAGTATCACATCCTCTCAATGTTTACAGATTGCAAGATGACATTGCTTGGGCAATAATGAAAAAAAGTCTTTCAGATTGTCGGGATGAATTGAGCCGGGCATCGAGACTGATGGAGGCTATGAAAAAAGTTAAATATGCACTGATCTTAGATGATGTATGGGATAAATTTACTCTTCATAGCATTGGAATCCCAGAACCAACAATGGAAAATGGGTGTAAAATTGTTATTACTAGCAGATCCATTGATGTATGCAACTACTTGAGATGTCAGGTAGTTAAAGTACCACCTCTACCAGGGCAAGAGTCTTTGACCTTGTTTTTAGAGAAGGTTGGGCAAGATGTTCTACGAATTCCCAATTTGGAAGAGATTTTGAAGCTTATGGTGGCTGAATGCGCTGGTTTGCCATTGGCCATTGTTGTCATTGCAGGGAGCATGCGAGGAGTACAAGATATTTCTGAGTGGAGAGATGCACTACGTGAATTGCGTCAGTGTGTGGTGGACACAGAGAAAGATTCAGAAGATGAGATATTTAATCGTTTGAAGTTCAGTTATGACCGTCTACCAAAAAATTCAAGCATCCAAGAGTGTTTCTTATATTGCTCATTGTATCCGGAAGATTGGAATATTAGAAGAAAAGATCTAATTGAAAACTGGATTTGTGAGGGAACTGTTCAAAAATTAGGAAGCAGAAGAGAAATGCATGATAAAGGAAATGCTATTTTAAATAGGCTTTTAAACTGTTGTTTGTTAGAGGAAGCCTTTGATAAGGCGTGTGTTAAGATGCATGATGTTGTGAGGGGCATGGCATTGCGCATCAAGAGCACGGGTCCTGGTAGGTTTATGGTAAAAGCTGGAATGAGATTGACAAAGATACCGGATGAGGATGAATGGAATGAAGATCTAGACAAGGTCTCCCTCATGAGAACTCTAATATCATTTATCCCTCAAAATATGTCCCCCAAATGCTTGATGCTCTCAACCTTGATTTTGGAGGGTAATTACGGATTGAGACAAATTTCAGAGTGTTTTTTTGCTAACATGCCCATGCTGAAGTTTCTTGATCTTTCTAGAACTGGCATTGAGGTTCTACCAAATTCCATATGTAACTTGGAATATCTCACTGCAATGATCCTCTGTGGATGTGAGAGTCTAAAACGCATGCCTTCCTTGTCAAAGCTTAAAGCACTGAAGAAGTTGGATTTGGATGAAGCAGGCCTTCGTGAGGCTCCTGAAGGCATTGAAATGTTAGAAAATCTGGAATATCTTGATTTATCTTGTCCAAACCTGAGGGTGCTACCAAGAGGAAAAATCAGTAACCTCTTCCGCCTCCAATACCTACGTACACATGGAATTTTTCGAAGTGAAATAAGTGGAGAAGAAGTAGCAGGTTTGAAGATGCTGGAATTGTTTGAAGGTGAATTTGATTGGTTGAAAGACTTCAACAGTTTTGTTAACGAGTTGAACCATTTTGGAAGACCCTGTCATTACTTTATGAAAATGGTAGAAGAAACAGGCGCGCTAAGGAGATTGAAAGCGGTTCGATTCTGGGTTAATTGGAATTCATTATGGTTACCGGATATCAAGGAATTAATAGCAAAAGATGTGAGACACACAGGCAAACATGAGGGGTATTTTTGGAAGTTCAACAATAATGATCTTCCTAAATGGGTAATTTTATTCAGTTGCAAGATGGGAGAAGATGAGTTGGTCCTTCCAGATGACCTTCAGGATTTGAGGATTGAAAGGTGCAAAATGGTCGGTGATATTTCTATTTTTCAGAAAGATCCTACTCAATTGCGAACATGTGCTTTGAAATACTGCCGAGGGATAGTGTGTGTGGTCTCTTTGTCATCATCTTCATCTACTTCCTTAACAGTTATGAATAACCTTGAAGTACTAACTCTTGAGGATTTGCCTAACTTGCGGGATGTTGTGAAAGTGGAAAAAGCAAGAGCATCGCTTGCACCAACAATATCCCTTCACATCTTTTCTAATCTTAAACAGCTGAGGGTAGGCAATTGTTCAAAATTGAAGAAGCTTTTTCCATGTGAGCTGCTGCAAGGTCATGGCCTCCAAAACTTGGAGCTGATTGAGGTGAAACATTGTTGGGGGATGGAGGAAATAATAGGATGGGAGGAAGAAGAGGAAGGAAATCAAACAACTACTCCAATATTGATCACTCTTCCAAAATTAAGGATATTGGAGTTGCAAGTCGTACCAGAATTGAAGAGAATTTGCCCCGAAAGAGGAGTAATGGTTTGTGAATCTCTCAATCGCATCAAGATAAATGCCTGTGTGGAGGTAAAGAGGATTCCCTTTTGTCTTAGAAAGGAAAACGCGCGACCATCTCTTCCTGCTGTCAAATCTATCTATATTTTCAATCCAAAAGAATGGTGGGAATCGTTGGAGTGGGAGAATCCTGACGATAAGATTGTCCTCCTACCTTTCCTCCAATATGATGAGCTCTTGTAAGTCTCATTAGTCTCCCTTTTTCCATTACTTGCATCCCATTCTCTCTTCTCTCTGGTATTTCATAAATAAATGTTTCTATCTCTTGTTTCTGAATGAATCCCAGTGTTAATGTCCATTGATTTGCTCAATTATCTAATCATGACTGATTTGCTAATAAGATGT